AAATAGACAGATCATCTAGGAAAAAAATTAACAATGAAATTCTAGAACTGAACGAAGCTATTGAACAAATGAACTTAATAGATGTTTACAGACCATTCCACCCCACAAAATCAGAATACACATTCTTTTCAGCTGCACACAGGTCATTCTCCAAAAGAGACCACATGCTAGCTCATAGGACATGTTTAAGTAAATGTAAAAGAACTGAAGTTACCTCCTGTGTATTATCAGACCACAGTGCAATAAAATTTGAGATCAGTAACATAAGAAACCAAAAAAACCCCACAAACTCATGGAAATTGAATAATACCCTCCTGAACAACCAATGGGTCAGAGAGGAAATTAAAGAAGAAATCAGACAGTTTCTACAAGTAAATGATAATAACAGTACAACATACAGGAATCTGTGGGACACAATGAAAGCAGTTCTATGAGGGAAATTCATAGCAGTGAATGCCCATATTAGCAAAACAGAGAGAACTCAAAAAAACAACCTAATGCAGAACCTCAAGCTCCTAATAAAAGAAAAGCATAACAAACCCAAACCTCATAGAAGACATGAAATTATAAAGATCAGAGCAGAAGTCAATGCAGTGGAGACTAAGAGAATGTACAAAAAAATCAGTGAATCAAAGAGTTGATTTTTTTGAAAGAATGAGTAAAATGGATAAACCTTTAGCTAACCTTATCAAAAAAGGAAAGAAAAGACTCAAATCCATGCAATTAAGAATGAAAAAGATGAAGTCACATCAGATCCAGCAGAAATCCAGAGGATCATCAATACCAACTTCCAGAAACTGTACTCTAATAAAATGGAAAACACAGAAGAAATGGACAGATTCCCACTTACATATGAATTGCCACAGTTAAATGAAGAAGATATAGAAATTCTAAACATCTCAATTACAATGAGTGAAATTGAATATGTAATAAAAAATTTACAAACAAAGAAAAGCCCAGGTCCGGATGGCTTCATTGCTGAATTCTACAAGACACTTAAAGAAGAACTATTTCCATTAATCTTTAAACTCATCAAGGAAATTGAAAGGGAAGCAATACTTCCAAATTCATTCCTGGAAGCAATTGCTACTTTGATTCCAAAACCAGGGAAAGACTCAACCCAAAAAGAGAACCACAGGCCACTCTCCCTAATGAACATAGATGCAAAAATCCTCAACAACATACTGGCAAACAGAATACAGAAGGTCATCAAGAAGATCATACACCCTGACCAAGTCTGATTTATCCCAGGGATGCAAGGATGGTTCAACATTCTTAAATCAATAAATGTAATACACTCTATTAACAGAGTCAAGGACAAAAACCATATGATCATCTCAATAGATGCAGAAAAAGCATTCAACAAAATCCAACACCCATTCATGATAAAAACTCTACAGAAAATTGAAATAGAAGTTCTTTATCCCAACCTGATTAAGGCTATCTATGAAAAACCAACAGCCAACAACATAATAAATGCTCAAAAACTGAAAACTTTCATGCTAAAATCAGGAATAAGACAAGGATGCTCACTATCACCACTCCTGTTCCATATAGTTCTATTAACATTAGCCACAGCAAGTAGAAAAGAGAAAGAAATAAAAGAAATAAAGATAGGAAAGAGAAGAAGTTAAACTGTCATTATTTGCTGATGATATGATACTTTACACAGAAGACCTAAAAAACTCTGCCAAAAGACTTCTAGACTTAATTGACAGATTCAATAGAGTAGCTGGATACAAGGTCAACACTCAAAAAACAATAGCCTTCTTATACACAAATAACAGACTCACCGAGAGAGAAATTAGGTAAACAATTCCTTTTACAGTTGCATCCCCAAAAATGAAATATCTAGGAATCAATCTAACAAAGGAAACAAAAGACCCCTACACTGAAAGCTACAGCACTCTGAAAAAGGAGATCGAAGAGGATATAAGAAAATGGAAAGATTTCCCTTGTTCCTAGGTAGGAAGAGCCAATATAGTGAAAATGGCCATACTTCCAAAACTACTATATAAATTCAGTGCAATGCCAATTGAAATTCCAACA